TAAAGGAAGCGATCCTTCAGGCACAGGGGGAGATTATTCCAGTATGAGAGAAAAGGGTGTAAAGAAGAAAGAGGGGGAGGGGAGAACAGGACTTTTTCTCTAGATGGGCCATTGAAAAACCAGAAGTAAAGTGCTCTGATGAACAGGGTGGGTCAAGAATGGCATTCATCTGCAAAACATTTTTCCTGTGACTTTTTCAGATTCCAGAACAGTGATGGAGAAGTCAAGTACTTGCATGATGCTGAAGAGCTGATTCGCCCAGAGAGGAACACGTTGATTGTAAGCTTTGTGGATTTGGAACAGTTCAATCAGCAGCTCTCTACCACTGTCCAGGAGGAGTTCTACAGGTAAGATTTACCTGAGAGCTGGGCAGCGTGACTTGGCTGTTCAAGGTGAAAACAGTGTTATGTAAGAATTCCCTGCCGATGGGCCCAGTTCTGATTTGTTACAACTGCTCTGGGTTCTGTATTCAGAACTGTCACAAAACTTGAATTAACTAACAACTGTCTTTACATTATGGGGTGGGGGGGGAAACTGATAGCATATAGTTGGATACAAAATGCAACCATCCATTATAGAGCCTAGTACTTCAAAAATGTATAATAAAGTATGTATAAATCTGTAAATCTATGTATATTGATACCTATATATTATATTAAGTAAGATATATATGCCCTATCAATAAAATATATAGGTATAGATGGGACATGTTGATAGGATATCTATATCTATAGATCAGTATCTATGTATAGTGATATCTATATATTATATTAAATAAGATATACATGCCCTGTCAATAAAATATATAGATATAGATGGGACATATTGATAGGATATCTATATCTATAGATCTATATCTATGTATTTTATTGATAGGGCATGTATATCTTATTTGATGTAAGGTGTATCAGATATCTTATCAATATTGCATTGAACTTGTACGTAGTTTTGATATTAAAGGTTCAGCATAAGCTTGACCCAGACAGTTGTGTTGTAAAATAAAATGCACTAGGCTCACTCATACTGAAGACAAAATGTTTTTATTGCTGGTTAACTGCACATGTAAGATGTTTAGACTTGTTTTTGTGTGGATCCAGGAGCATTATGCCAGAGCTTGTAGATCTGTGATAAAAATTATTGAATGGGTCTAAAGGGAAAGTTGGGTTTGGTAACTTCTATAAAATATGATTATTTTTTTTTCCCCCTGTATCTCAGAGTTTATCCTTACCTGTGCCGAGCAGTAAAAACGTTTGCCAGAGACCATGGAAATGTTCCTCCAAACAAGGACTTTTATGTTGCGTTCCAGGATCTGCCTACCAGACACAAGTAAGATCCTGCTTTTTCTAGTAATTTAGATGACTGAAGTATCCAGACATAATAAAAAATGGTCTGATGACTTAGCAATAAACACACTATATCAATGAAAACATGCATAAATTAGTGAGTCATGACAAAAATATTTTCTGTGGCATTCTGTCACTTGCAAATCACAAAAAGGTAGAGCTAGGAAGGCATGTCAGGGGATGGTCTAGTCTGGCCCCTGCTTAGACTACTAGACAGTGCTCAGTGGGGGGAAGGGGTTCCTTTTTTGTTTTGTTTTAAAGGATGTTGTTTTCAAAACACAGTTGATGTACCTTTTAAATGTATAACTTAAATTTCAGAGATAATCTAAACTGTTTTTGCATAAAAACACAGGAGTGAGAGTGTTTTGGTAATGCTTAGCGTGATACCAACAGCAGCATGTCTTTTCTTTAATTATAGTGGTACAATGATGAATGCTTAAAGACTGGTTAAGTAAAACATGTGCCCAAGTCCCGTTGAAATCCAAGAAACATAAGCACATCTTTAACAGGTGCTTAATTACTTTGCTGGAGTGAAGCCCAAAACTGGAATGCCCAGTCCTCTAGGAATTAAGCAGCTATTAATTTTATGTTTTGAAACAGAATTCGGGAGTTGACATCAGCCAGAATCGGCTCACTGATGCGTATAAGTGGACAGGTGGTTCGTACCCATCCAGTTCATCCAGAGCTTGTCAGTGGAACCTTCCTGTGCCTGGACTGTCAGACGGTGATTAAAGAGGTGGAGCAGCAGTTTAAATACACGCAGCCAAACATCTGCAGAAACCCAGTCTGTGCCAACAGAAGGAGATTCCTGCTGGACACAAACAAATCAAGATTTGTTGACTTTCAAAAGGTATTTTCTTGTTTTTCTTGGAACTTTATTTGACATGCTTAGAAGATGCCATTGCTGCCGCTTCACGTTGATGTAAATCAGGGCTGTACAGCGGAGTCACACATGATGCTGGTGTACATCCCATAGGCTGCACTGTACAGGCTGCAAGCTCCCTAGATGAGCACCCCATACAGCGCAGGCTACCACACAGGTAATGTGTGGACCCCAAGGCCTTCCTCTGCTATGCAGCAGCAAAAGAGGTGGCCAGTAGGGCCTGCAGCCAATCCATTGGACAGTCCTGACATAAATATGATTATAGAGGGTCAGGATTTTCTCTGTCCCAATAAAAGACAGTGGAACTTTTGATGGTTATTTTCTTTCCATGTCTAGAAGACTTATAAATAAGTGTTTGTGGACTGATTTAAATTGAAGGAATTTTTGGATGTGAGATTTGTTATTTTTATGCTAGTAAGAAAGAGAAGACTTGCATGTTTGTGTCAGTGTTGAGCTCTTGTGAAAAGTAGGATGTTTGATTTGTTTTATACCAATGTAGAAAAGATCATTGCACATCTGTGCAGCTAAAATGGAGTCCAAGCCTGTTAACGGGGCTTGATTATAACATGGACTGTTTCGCTGTGTAGCCTTCGTCTCTTCTTAGGGAA